CACAATTACTATATTTAAATGTAAATAATAGTCAGTAAATGAGACAATACTAAAAAAGAAAATAAAAAATCACAAGGTTCAATAAATTATTATTTTTTCTATCGAGTCCATAGACACAATCAACCAAATTTTGTTTCATGTCCAAAAAATATAAGTGAAATACTGTAAGAGGTAAGAAAATACTCAAAAATCTTTGAAGAAGAAACAAATGAGATTATAAATGAATATAAAGAAATTGCTTATTTATGGGAATAAATTCTTCCTATTGAATTATTAATAATATCACTATGTATGTAAATATCAAACTTCAACTTATGAAATCATTTGATAATTGCCAAAAATTATATACATTTTTTTCTCCTTAATATTTCAAATTACTATATATTAGAAGAGTCTAGGATTTACTACCAAAAGTGGGCCCCATCTCCCTCCACTTAAATAATATTTTTCAACCTTATCATGGTAAAAGTTGAATTTATTATCCTTTTCATTTAATTTTATATGATATTATTTTTTCTATAAAATCATTATATATGTTTTAATAATTTAAATTTCAAAAACATTATAATTTAACTTTAAAGATTTTATTTTATCAAAATCTTGTACATTGAAATATATAGTTATGAATTTAAAATATTTTTAAAATCATATAAAAATTTCAATAACTTCTCAAATTCCATAATATAACACTTAAATAAGAAGAGTCTAGGATTTACTACCAAAAGTGGGCCCCATCTCCTTCCACTTAAATAATATTTTTCAACCTTATCATGGTAAAAGTTGAATTTATTATCCTTTTCATTTAATTTTATATGATATTATTTTTTCTATAAAATCATTATATATGTTTTAATAATTTAAATTTCAAAAACATTATAATTTAACTTTAAAGATTTTATTTTATCAAAATCTTGTACATTGAAATATATAGTTATGAATTTAAAATATTTTTAAAATCATATAAAAATTTCAATAACTTCTCAAATTCCATAATATAACACTTAAATACTACATATTATATATTAATTACTATACTATAAATGACTTAAATACTCCATATTATCTATTACAATAATTAACAATTATTTGACACTTTAAATTCTATCAATGCCATATAAATTAGGATAAAAAACCTAACATATAATATTTAAATATATTTAAAAATAATATAAGCAATACTATACATTACAATAATTAACAGCTTAATTATTTAAAACTTATATAAAAAATTTAATTGAGTCTCTAAATTCTATTGGTACCACATAAAATAGATTATATAATAAACATATATTGTTTGAAATTGACAAAAAAGAAACAATAAATTACAATAATTAATAAAAAAAATATTCCACTCCAAAAAACCTATCAATTTAACAACATATATTGTTTGAAATTGACGAAAAAGAAACTATAAATTACAATAATTAACAAAATAAATCTCTTGACTCCAACAAATCTATCAATTAATGCCACATAAATTGGGACATGGCAAATAACATATATTATTACAAAATTAGGTTCAAAATGTACTATAAAATACAATAATTAACAACTTAATATATTAAAGAGACATATAAAAAATGGTTAATATTTGAAATTCTGCATGTGACACATAAATTAGAACAAATACAGTAATAAATATTATTTTCAAAATTATATAAAAAAAAAACACTACAAATCACAATAGCTAACAATTTAAAATATTTTTAAAATCATATAAAAATTTCAATAACTTCTCAAATTCCATAATATAACACTTAAATACTACATATTATATATTAATTATACTATACTATAAATGACTTAAATACTCCATATTATCTATTACAATAATTAACAATTATTTGACACTTTAAATTCTATCAATGCCATATAAATTAGGATAAAAAACCTAACATATAATATTTAAATATATTTAAAAATACTATAAGTAATACTATACATTACAATAATTAACAGCTTAATTATTTAAAACTTATATACAAAATTTAATTGACTCTCTAAATTCTATTGGTACCACATAAAATTGATTATATGATAAACATATATTGTTTGAAATTGACGAAAAAGAAACAATAAATTACAATAATTAATAAAAAAAAATAGTCAACCAAATTGACGAAAAACAAATTATAAATTACAATAATTAACAAAATAAATATCTCGACTCCAACAAATCTATCAATTAATGCCACATAAATTGGGACATGGCAAATAACATATATTATTAAAAAATTAGGTTCAAAATGTACTATAAAATACAATAATTAACAACTTAATATATTAAAGAGACATATAAAAAAGGGTTAATATTTGAAATTCTGCATGTGCCACATAAATTAGAACAAATAGATTAATAAATATTATTTTCAAAATTATGTTAAAAAAAGTACTACAAATCACAATAGCTAACAATTTAAAATATTTTTAAAATCATATAAAAATTTCAATAACTTCTCAAATTCCATAATATGACATAAATTTAAAAAAAAAAGTGTTATAAATCATAATAAATTGTACAATATTTTAACTACTTTAAAAGTATTATAAATTGTAATAAATAATACAACAATTTAAATTACTTATTACTTAAAATTTAACGACTTAAAAATATTTTTTTAAATGTATTAAAATTTTGGTTAATTGTCAAAACTTTACATGTGCCACATAAATTGGGACATGGAGAGTCACACATATTTTTTTTAAAAAATTACATTAAAAGTATTCTATCAATTAACAACGTATATTGTTTGAAATTGACGGAAAAAAAAAATATAAATTACAATAATTAACAAAATAAATCTCTCGACTCCAACAAATCTGTCAATTAATGTCACATAAATTGGGACATGGCAAATAACATATATTATTAAAAATTTAGGTTCAAAATATAAAATAAAATACAATAATTAACAACTTAATATATTAAAGAGACATATAAAAAATGCTTAATATTTAAAATTCTGCGTGTGCCACATAAATTAGAACAAACAGAGTAATAAATATTTTTTTCTAAATTATGTAAAAAAAAAGTACTACAAATCACAATAGCTAAAAATTTAAAATATTTTTAAAATCAGATAAAAATTTCAATAACTTTTCAAATTCCATAATATGACATAAATTAAAAAATATATATATATATATATATTTGGGCCCCGTGCTGGCACGGGGTCCTATATCTAGTAAAAAAAGAGTTAGTTTCCTATTAAACATTAACATTAATTCATGTAAAATTTTATCAAATTTAATTTTAAAAAACTCTTAAATAGCGATCAATTTGCAAAAATGAGCGTCGTACAAAAGCTCAAAAAAATCATGCATTAATTATGTTTTTTAAAAGGCTATTTTATGATAACAAATAAAGCAAATATATTAGTGGTACACATATATGGTCGTATTTATTAAAAAAACAAAACCAAAAAAAAAAAACACGATGTAACATTTATACTTTATACTCCTCGTCTATTTTTAATTGTCATGATATCTTTTTTTAGAGTCAAACTATAAGAACTCTAACTAACATTTTACAATGTATTTTTTTATCATATTGATATGCAAAAAAATGTAATTTATAGTATTTTTAAAATAATTTTTAAATATCTAAATTTTTTATTTAAAACTAATAAAATTACCCGCGCTTCGCGCGGGAATTTAATGTCACAGAATTTATAAAATAATACTTAAAATCTATCAAACATTAAAACTAAAACACTATATTATCTTACATATAAGATTACAGTAACAAATATTAATAATGTAAAGGAAGATGGAAATTATTACATCTTATCATTTATCCTTAATAACATAAGCATAAATTAATGATTGTAAAAATATATACTAGGATCTGTAACATAAGCAATGTTATCCGTGACCCACTCAACATGAGCAGAGTACACAAATATTTAATTGTGAACAAAAGGAAGAAGAAATAGAAGAGGTTCAGAGTTTTCGTTATTTTAAAATGAGAGGAAATCTTTCTATTTATAGACAACAAAGGGTAGTATGAACAAATGTTTATTGTGCCTTATTAGAAAGGTCACAACCTTTCATAAAAGTCACAACTTTTCATAAAAGTCGCAACTCTTCGTTAAAGTCGCAACTCTTCGTTAAAGTCGCAACTCTTCCTTAAAGTCGCAACTTTTCATAAAAGTCGCAACTTTTCATAAAAATCGCAACTGTTCATTAAAGTCACAACTTTTCATAAAAGTCACATTTTTTCATGAAAGGGGAAGACTAGTTTTGGAAATAAATAAATTAACAGGGAAATCTGATTTGTGGTGGCGCCACGTAGGCGGACCTAAGGTTCTCTTATATTTATATACTAGTAAAATTACTTGCGCTTCGTGCGGAAATTTAATATCACAAAATATATAAAATAATACTTAAAACCTATCAGTTACTAAAACTAAAACACTAATTATCATACATAAAAGATTAATAATGTAAAGGAAAATGAAAATTATTACATCTTATCATTTATCCTTAATAACAAAAACATAAATTAATGACTGTAAAAATACATATCAGGATCTGTAACATAACCAATGGTGTCACTAAATCACTCAACATGAGTAAAGTACACAAATATTTATATTTAATTGTGAAGAGGAAGAAGAGGTTTAAAATTTTCGTTGTTTTAAAATGAGAGGAAATCCCTCTATTTATAGACAACAAATGGTAGTGTGAACAAATATTTATTGTGCCTTATCGGAAATGTTACAACTATTTGGAAAAATTGCAATCCTTCAGAAAGGTCACAACCTTTTATTAAAGTCACAACTTTTTATAAAAATCACAACTTTTTATGAAAGCGGAAGGATAGTTTTGAAAATAAACAAATTAAAAGTGAATTCTGATTTGTGGTGGCGCTACGTAGGTAAGCCTAAGGTTCTCTTTTATATATATATATATATGATAATATATATGATATCAAATTAATATAATATAATTTAACTTTAAAAAACTAATAATGAAAAAACAATAATTGGAAAAGTCCCGTCGTGTCCTGTCGTTTGCGAGTTCCAATTCCAAATTCCAGGCCCCTTTTGGTGCCGATCTCCTTGTGCCGGCAAAAGTTCCAAGCTCCGCCGCCGCCCTCCGGCTATTATCAGATTGTTATTCGCTTCATTTCCATTGTTAACTTGGCCAATGTCTTCGTCGAAGCATCTCCCGATCAACAACTACTCCTGAACATATATCAGGTTAGTCTTATCCCTCTACACCACCGAGCTTTGTTCTTTAGTTTGGATTCATTTTGTTTCTTAGCTTAAAACTGCTTAATACAAGATTCCATTTGATTCCTTCGGAGTTGGACTCAATTTCTGGATAACTTATTGCTTGTTCTATTATCTCAACCCCTACCTAGGCCTTTTGGTTTGCTACTTAACAGTTTTTTTAATTTAATTAGCTTATACCGATTTTTTCACAATGTCCCTCGTCATTTCTTACTCTCACCATTAAACTGGCCTGCTATTAATCACTGCACATAATGGTTACAAAGAGTTAATATCACCATGACGAGGTCAAGCAATTCACCACATTGGGTTGTTACCTTTTCCTGTAGTTGATGTGCCATTTATCCGGAAAGACACTAGTCACCTGCTACCACTCAGCTGTTGTTTTGAGGCATTGAGTGTGCTTAGACTACTCGCATCATCTTTGCTTCTTTTGTACTTTGCCCTGAGTCTTGTACAACAAATTCACAAATTACCCTCTAAGATATGTTCACCCTCAGAGAATAAGGTGAAAAAATAAATGAATTTGTTGTAAATTAAAAATTGTTCTCTTCCGTCATTGATATATCTCTTCTTACAAGCAAAGAATGAATTCCATTGACGCAATATAATGTCTGTCACAAGATATCTATATTCATCTAGACAAAGTCATATCATCACATAGGCTGGCCTTGCATAATTCTACATATGAAACACTCTGGTGGTCAAAAAGTTTATAGAAAAATGAAATTCTTGCTGAAAATGTATGTACTCTTATCAGATGCGGTGTACCTTTCTGAGAGAGATTTCCTTCATCATCACAGGGTTCTTTAATAGGCTTATAAATTATAATATAGTCAAAATTTATGCTGCTACAAGGTCATTTGTATCGTAATGGTTTTGTAATGCTTATTTCAATGATGACAATGTATTTTAGGAGAACAGATCATCTCGCACAAATATAATGCCCATGAAGCATTTCCAGCAATAACTAGATGGTATTTTAGCAGTGATCGTAGCATCCACATGTAATAGAGTGTTGTTGGTGCTGTGCATATTATTCAATCAGCTGCTGTTCCTGAGCAGTCAAACCTAAGCAGTTGCTTTATAAGTGGGCTTCAAATTCCTGATCTTCTCAGTTATTTTACTGTTTGCAGTTTTTCCTGTCTCTACTGAAATGGTCTGTAGGGACAATCGCCCCAGTGATGAGATTTACAGCATAATCTGGAGTCAAGATTTCTCGCGATGCGAATAGTGTCAAATGATAGCCTGGTAGTGGATAGATCAGAAACAGAGCCCATCTTATCGCAGATTGCGGTTGTTGAGGAATCTGAGGACACTTCACATTCAACTGAAATTACTGAGGATTGTTTGGAGACTGCTGGTGACCTGCCAAGTGTTGGAGTCTACGAAATTCAATCTTTGTCACATGCTGAACTGTTCCAGTGTCGCATATGCTTGGACAATGAAGGTGTTGATTATGCACTTAGTTTTGTGTAAACCATTAAGGAAGATAATGATGAGAATTTGTTTTTTTCAGCTACATGATTGGAATTACATATATCCTCGGAATTATTCTTTGTTACTGCACTAACAGCTGGAATTTGGTAATTTTTTTTCAGGAGAAGATCTGATTGCACCCTGCCATTGTAAAGGAACACAAAAGTATGTCCATAGATCATGTCTCGATAACTGGAGATCAACTAAGGTGAATTAACTTATATACATGTTATCTACAAATGGTCAGTGGCATGTCCTAGAAGTAGCCAGAAAATTAGATTCTGTTTGAGAACTTAAATTTTATTCTCATCAAACTCAGACTGCTGTATAATTAGTTTACATCAAAAGATCACCAAGAAATGCATAGAGTACTTTACATTGGAAGTCAGAGTATCTGGAAAGCATATACAAAGTTATCCATTATGAAGAACTAGTATGTCATAAAATACCCTGTGCTCATAGCGCATCTGCTGTTTATATTTATCTATGTAACCCTTGAACCTAAACAAGGTACTTTATGCTTGTTAGCCCTTATACCATTGAAGGAAGTGATAAACAATCTCATGAAGTGTTAATTCCATGTTTGTGAGATCCTTTCAGTTTTACCAGATGCAATGAGAGTGTTATTTTCTTTATTTTTATTTTTAGGTTGCTATACTCTATTTCTTTTTCCTTTTCTTCTGTCTTATAAATTATTCCCTCATATTTAAGATTCCCTCCATGTATCTGTGGAGATAGTTAGAATTCGAAACTATCCTTTATTGAACTATTTTGAGTCTTTGGGTGATGTATTTTTTTTTTAATCAGGTTGCTTACTTGCTTTCTCATCGCAGTAATTTGGGATCAATATTATTAGCTATCAATTGACATCTCATTAGTTCATTGAGTTTGGAAGTTTTTGGCATTAACAACCGTTCTTTGAAGATAAAGAGATAACATACATTGAAATTTTCATTAATGGTTGTACTTTGTATAAGACATGTTGTCATCTTCTTGGTTTTGTAATGTTGTTAATGTGTTTGTGGCTCCATTTTCTAGGAGGGATTTGCTTTTGCTCACTGTACCGAATGCAGGGCAAAGTTCATATTACGGGCAAATGTCCCACCTGATCGCTGGTGGTTGAGATTAAAATTTCAGTTCCTTGTGGCAAGAGACCATGCATTCATTTTTCTCGTTGTCCAGTTGGTATGGACATAATTTCTTTTCGCCAGATTTTCCATTCTGCCTTATGTTCCTACCAGTATTGTAGTTAAAAGGTGGTGTATAGTTTATGGTACAGAAGTTGGATATAGCTGTACTTCTCGTTTATGCTCTTCTTGCTTTATATTTATTTACCACTTGTTTAAAACCTTAATTCAATAGTCCAAAGCTAGATAATTCTCAAAATAGTCCAAAGCTAGATTTGCAATGCCGACAGGATATGTTTCTTCTGTACTGCCATCAGTAAATTACTATGCTTGTGATGGTGGTTTTACCGTAATGAACAAGAAGACATTGAGGGCCGTCAACAAGAGCCCCCATAAGTTTCTCAAATTAGAAGAGCTTCACACTTACTGCCAAGCACAAGATTATCTTGAATGTTTGCACCTTTTTCTTTTTTTGCTTCAAAACGGAGCTTTGGGAGTGTTAATGAGTTAAGTTTGTGAAGCCTAGAGCCATTTCATTGTTGTTCTTATTTAATTGTGGTTACTAAAGATTTTCCAGACTGGACAATTTCATTAATGTAAAGAAAAGCAGAGGCCTGACATCTACTGGTTTTTTTTTTTTTTTTTGATAAAGTAAAATAATGGCATGTACTAGCATTTTGTTTAGAATTAATTCTTTATTAATGGTTTTCGGCTAAGGTGTGAGCAAGAGTATCTTCTTTGGGGTCTATCACCATAGCCTTTTCCTTTAGCTATTATGGTATGTTAACAAAATTTCATTTAAAAGGGCATGGGATTCATTTCATGGAGAAATAGTGTGCCCAAGATTCGAAAGATTCTTCACCTGCAATCACTCGATTATGCTTCAATCCAAATTAGCTAGGATCAGTTATATGATTCTTTGCATCCATCAAACTTATAAGATGCATTACAGTTAGACTGTCTTTTATGTTGGTCAACCGACTGCAGTCCTGCTTTTATCCAGGTTTGATATTGGATCAGTTTTGCTGCATAGGTGAAGTTTGTTTGTTATAAGTAGGTTTAAAAGGTTAAAGACCTTGAAATTTCTTACATTTTTTTTTCTGGTTTCTCTCATCTGTTCAATATTTCAAGCCTCTCTAATGTAGGTAAATGAAACATAGCTAATTTGGCAAATACATTGTGTAATACTAGGTCACTTGGCCCTCCAATTCCTATGAAGTCATTTTTACAAAGTTGTCCATTTTGTTAAGAAATATATGCCCGCTTATTCAGTGGCGAAGTCATGATTTACTAAGAGATTAAAAAGTGAAATAAGTAAATGCATGAAAAATCCAGGGGATTCATCATCTACTATATAAATTAAAAAAATAAGTTTGACCTTGTATGGGGTTTGGACTTCAGATGAACCCTTTTGCACCCCCTTAGTTCTTCCCATGCCCTTATACAGTTTATTGTTAGAGCTAGACCGTGCTTTTCCTTTCAGAGATCTTCCATAAGGTTAGACCTCTTGGTTGGGCAAAAAGCATTGTGCAATTCTTTCATCTTTATCGTGGACCAGGCATGCCCTTCTTCTAGTCTTTCCTATTATAACGTCAAAGAGTTTCCAAAGTTATTTATGCCAAGAAGCTTGGAAGTGAATCTGCGTTGAGCATAGAATGTACAAAACCTAGGCAGGAAAGCTAAACCTAGGAGCCAATGAGATATATATAACTCTTGGAGTTTTTTTTCTGTATGATTGCAACTTATTGATATTGTATAATGATATAACTGTTTCCATGCATATCAATTGTTTCCAGTAACTGTCCCTGCTGATTGTTGAATGAACAATTATCACAGATTGTAGCATTCTTAGGTATACTTGTATACAAATTCTATGGAGAGGAGCTAAGGGAAATGTTTGGCTACCGAGAGCATCCATATGGCTTTTATACAATGGCAGGTATTTTCTGACTTGATCCATCAGATTAACCTTCGTTAGAACTTGTGGACCATTTAATGCTATGCTTGTTGGTTTACAAATCACCTTTTGGTTACATCGTCATTTTGTCAAAAAATGTAATAATATATGAAGTTTTGATCATTGACCTTTATAAAAACTTTAGCTGTATAGTCCTTGTTGATGTGAAGATTTATGTGCCATCAAACGGCTTCTTAGATTCGTCCTAGGTTTGCTTGGTTTAGAAACCGTTTGGTTGTGGGAGAATTTGTTTCAATTTCAGTTTCTTCTTTCTGGAAAAAGTTGTAAATGCCTTGATTTGTGTTTAGGAGAATAAACTGACTAAACATCTTTAGATACTATTGTTCATCTTGTATTCCTAAGATACTTAGAACAAAACTTTGAAGAACTTGGTAAGACACAATAAAGTTTAAGAACATTTTCACAACTAGAAAATTAAAACTAGTAGAGAAACTAGAATCAGAAACAAATTAGAATTTCTTAAAGAAGATTGTTGTCAATCTGTGTTTAAAGAATCTTACTGATTTCAACAAACTTTGTAGAAACACGAAGTTACCAAAGTTTAATGAACCAGTGAAGAACAGAAGAACATAAATTAATTCACAAATCTAAAATCTGTAACACATACCAGAATCTAGAAAAACAGAAAGAAGATCAAGCTCACTGAATGCACAGTGTCCCCTTAAGGAAATTATTCCCCTCTAATATCCGAGGTTTGATTTGGAATATGTCCTCCCAGGATAGAATGATCTCAATCACCAGTGTATTGATACCCAAAACGCTGATGTCAGCGAACCACTCAACGGCAATAAAGTACACTTAGAATACTAGATTTAGTAAGTCCAGAAATTGGTTCTTTTAAAATAAGAGGAAATCCATCAATTTATAGAAAGCAGAGGGTAGTGTGACAAGGTTCTTATTGTGCCTTACCGGAAAGGTCACAAACCTTTGAAAAGTCACAATCTTTCGAAAAGGTCACCACCTTTCATAAAAGTCACAACTTTTGATAAAAGTCACAACTCTTCATAATAGTCGCAACTTTTCATCAAAGTCACAACTCTTCATAAAAGTCGCAACTCTTCATTTTCTATTCACACCTTTTAAAATCCAACAATCCCCCGCATGAATGGGGAATGACTCCAAGACAAAGAAACTGACAAGTATGTGTACTTTACAAGCAAGAATTAATTGCATCTGGATAAGTAGGTTTCCCCTTGGACTTTCCATAGTGAACATATGTCGGATATACTCGGTCAATCGGTAGATGCGATATCTTTGAATCGTCGAGCTTTGGTGTATACCTAGACAACCATATGTCACACAATTAACCCTTTACCGTTTATGGTTCTTACGATTGTGTTTGTTTCAACTATGAACACCTTCTGGTTTCGTGAGTGTATAGAGAATAGGCTTTTGACAATAATTCTCTTTGAAGCGGCTTACACTTTACACCCACATAGGTGATTTCTAACCGTGTTATCGCGTAGATACACTATTTGGTCAAATCTGCCAAACTTAGCAAATCATTAAAAACATTAAGATTTAGTAACTCATTAACAAGCCTTAATGTTGTATCTTTGTTCCTGAGCATTGCCTTCATCATGAGAATGGATTGAGTTTGTTGACAATGCCGAACCGTCAGTCACAACTTTGTTTTTCTCCTTGAATCTAGCTCTTGGGATCTCCAGTCTGCTAGATAGAGTTACCGCCATGATGACTTGTCCTAAGCCGTAAACCCATTCCCTTAGATGATCTTTAAACTTTCTCTCTAGTTAGGCCTTTTTGTAAGTGTATCCGACACATTATCCTTTGACTTTACATAGTCAATTCTGATAATTCCACTAGAGAGTAGCTTTCTAACGGTATCTTGTTTATGTCCTATATGACGAGACTTTCCGTTATACATCATTCTCCATGCCCTACCTATTGCATCTTGACTATCAAAGTGTATGCATACTAATGCCAATGGTTTGGGCTAAAAAAAAATATCTATCAAGAAATTCCGGAGTCTTTCACCTTATTCACCGACCTTATCTAGAGCACCTAGCTCAGAGATCACTGTAGAGCTAACGATACATGTTTTTTTTATTTTTTGGAATATTTCCAAGAGACTGCTCCTCTACCAAGAGTAAATACATATCCACTCGTGGATTTCACTTAATTTGTCCGGTGATCCAATTCGCATCACTATATCCTTTCAATACTGCTGGATATTGTTATAATGCAAGACATAGTTTTATGTATTTCTTAAATACTCCAAAACTCTTTTCATTGTCATATAATGAGTTCAATTGGGATCACTCGTGAACCGACTTAGTTCATTAATAGCCAATTCTATATCTGATCGCGTACACTTCGTGATATACATCATACTTCCCAATACTCTAGCACAATCCAATTGTGCGTCACTTTTGCCTTCACTCTTTTGAAATGCAAAGCTCACATTTATTGGAGACTTGACAATATTGAAATCCAAATATTTGAACTAGTCAAGTACCGTTTCAATGCAATGAGAACGCGAATATGCTAAACATTATGGAGTTCTAAGGATTCTTATACCTAAGATCGCATCAACAACTCCAAGATTTTTCATTCTGAACTTGCTTTCTAGCATACGTTTAGTAGCATTTATGTCATTAGTGTCTCTATTAATGATCAACATATCACCAATTATACAAACAAACAATGACCTAGTGATTTTAATGTAAACACATTTTTCACTTCCATCATTTTTACATCCATTTACCAACATAGTTTGGTCAAATATCTTATGTCATTGTTTGGGCGCTTGTTTTAGTCCATAAAGTGACTTAACAAGTTCGCACACTTTCTTTTCTTTACCAGGAACCACAAAACCCTCGGGTTGTTCCATGTAAATTTCTTCCTCCAATTCTCCATTTAAGAGAGTTGTTTTCACATTCATTTGATGAATTTGGAGGTTATATACCACATCTAACACAATTAACATCCAAATGAATGTAATTCTAGTTACTGGCGAGTATGTGTCGAATAGATCAAGACCTTGTTTTTGTCTTGCTTTATATCTGTCAACAGTTCCATCAACTTTCATTTTCCTTTTGAGGATTCACTTTTTTTTTTGATAACCGAGAAATTCGTCTGTGACCCGCCCTTTGAACTAATCACATCCTTCTAAACTCGGTGGATAATGGGCCCGCCCCTCTACCCTTCTCCACTTAAATACCGGGCTTCGCTTTGCATGGTGTGGGACTTGAACCTTGAGGATTCACTTTTAACCCAAAAGTTTATTTCCTGGGGGAAGATCAACCAACTTCCAATAGGATTGCTCAAGATTGAACCAATCTCACTATTAACACCATTTGTCCAAAAGGATGAGTCTACAGAAGACACAAGAAATGTTACAAAATCATATTAAAGGAAAGTAGATGTCCTTTGACATTTACTACACCTCGAAATCTCTTTATTAAGTACATTCTTCTTTTGTTCTTTCCAAGGTCGTTTAGACCTTTCACTAGACTACTCAAGTCTAATATTACAGTCCACTGTCTTAGGTCCTATTTTAATCCTTTTAGGAATAGGAATTTGGACTTTGGCTAGACACCCCCACACTTTGAAATATTTCAAGTTGGATTTCCTTCATTTCCATTTCTCATATGGAATAGAATGTGTCCTGGAAAAACAAAAAAAATTTATTGCTTTCTTTATGAAAAGGCAAAACTTTTTGTTGTTCCCTTTTGCAGTAAGGATAGGTCCTCCACACAAGTTTTGTGGTAAACCAGAACTTATAAGTAATGTATTGATCATTTCCTTCAAAGTTCAGTTTTTTTTTCCCATTAGATTGAGGTGAATAGGGCAGCAATTTGATGGATAATTCCACTTTTCAAACATATTTCTGAAAAATGAGATTTATACTCTCCATCCCTATCACTTCTTATCTTTTTCCCAACTGATTTTCAACTTCAATATTATATTGTCTAGACGTTTCTATTGCTTCATCCTTACCATTCAGCAAATAGACATAGTCGTTTCTAATGCAATTGTCAATGAAAGTTACAAAATACTTTTTTCCACCACGAGATGGTGTTGACTTCATATCACAAATGTCAGTGTAAATCAATTCTAAGGGATTATAATTTCTTTCAACAGATTTATAAGAATGCTCAGCATACTTAGATTTCACACAAACTTGACATTTTTTATTTATTGCACTCAAAGTTAGACAAAACTTCTAAGTTGATCAGTTTTCCTTACAAGGTTTTGTAATTGACATGTCCCAAGTGTTCATGTCACAAACAGTTTGACTAAAGCAAGTAAGAACAAATAAAAATATTGAGTTTGAAAAGCTCTCCGCAAGGTACCTTTTTCTCACAGATATTTGTTCCTATTTCTTACAATTTTGTATGACACAAACATTGTTTAAAGTCATCACCTTGTCAAATGTCCTTTTCAGCAGGACCTTTCCGTAACTTTCAATTTGATTGTTATAGAACTACCCATGAACAAAGTTTAATCAGGTCCAATAAAGGCAATATAGTCCAAATGTTTCTTTTACAAAACATAACGAATAACTATTCACCAATATTCATGTCTATGCAAATACTTTTATTATAATAGACATATCTTTTTATGAAAAATCACAACATTTTAAGTGACACTTTTTCATAAAAGAACACAATTATTTTGAACAAGTATATATATATAATTTGGTAGTTTCATACTAGTCACATCATATACTAGTAATAGAGAAACTCAACAACCACAATACCGAATATACTCCAAGAATTTTGTGGGTCTAACATAATACAAAAGTATCATTGAATTTCATATTTTTTGCTCCAAAATTAAATTAGACACCAAGTCTAATTTTATCTTTATCATAAGCAAAGAACCCCCATACTTTAAATGTGATCTCAAAAATATTTTTCAAGTATTTGAAAATAGTTTTTCCACATATTTTCCCAAACTATCAAAATGTCATTGGCAGTATGAAACCTCTTTTGGAAATATTATTCTCAAAAAAGAATTATATTGCTTCAATTCTCTTTGACAATCTTTACATAGTGTCAAAGTTCATTCCATAGAGGCACAAAATCACAAACTCTAAGTCACTGGTATTTTTCCCTCTATCACAAATAGACATACCACTTTGTATTTAGAATACTAACAATAAAGACAATTTTTTTTTTGTACAATTTGTTTTTATATAACAGTGAAGTTTATAGAAAGTCAAAAGTACCACATTGACTTATTATGTGAAGCTTTCATGTTTTTCAAACCAATTGCATAGTCTGATTTATCCAGAGTAGAAACTACAGAAGTTTTTAGTCTACAAAAATCAGACACAATCAAATTTCACATGGAGTACAAAACTACAAAAGTTTTTTTCATCTCCAAGCAAAATTAAACATATTCTTTATCACATAGAAATGTTTTTATTTTCAATAGCCTTCCAACTATAACATTTTGACATACTATTTTATCAAATAAAAATATGCATCTCTCATTTTGCAAACTAAAGAATTTTAAAGGCAACACTATTTGCCAAGCAAAATTCATTCCACAATATATGGTTTGCAGATCTTTTTCCAAAGATACACATGATAAAAAATCAAAGTTGTTAACTCTTAGAATCTATTTTCCTCCTTAGACAAAATAATAAGAAGGTTACCTGGTGTAATCTTTAACCGGAATACCACCACCTTTTCTATACATTCTCACTTCGACCTTGCTAAACAAAGCACCGAATTCTGGAGAAGTAATGCATTAATCTTCTACTTCCATGATCTGTTTCTCTCAATCAGTAGAATACAAGAAATACCAACAGTATAATAATTTCCTTAAGATTGTTGTTCATCTTGTATTCCTAAGATACGTAGAACAAAACTTTGAAGAACTTGGTAAGACACAATAAAGTTTAAGAACATTTTCACAACTAGAAAATTAAAACTAGTAGAGAAACTAGAATCAGAAACAGATTAGAATTTCTTAAAGAAGATTGTTGTCAATCTGTGTTTAAAGAATCTTACTGATTCCAACAAACTTTGCAGAAACACGAAGTTACCAAAGTTTAATGAACCAGTGAAGAACAGAAGAACATAAATTAATTCACAAATCTAAAATCTGTAACATATACCAGAATCTAGAAAAACAGAAAGAAGATCAAGCTCACTGAATGCACAGTGTCCCCTTAAGGAAATTATTCCCCTCTAGTATCCGAGGTTTGATTTGGAATATGTCCTCCCAGGATAGAATGATCTCAATCACCAGTGTATTGATACCCAAAACGCTGATGTCAGCGAGCCACTCAACGGCAGTAAAGTACACTTAAAATACTAGATTTAGTAAGTCCAGAAATTGGTTCTTTTAAAATGAGAGGAAATCCATCAATTTATAGAAAGCAGAGGGTAGTGTGACAAGGTTCTTATTGTGCCTTACCGGAAAGGTCACAAACCTTTGAAAAGTCACAATCTTTCGGAAAGGTCACCACCTTTCATAAAAGTCACAACTTTTGATAAAAGTCACAACTCTTCATAATAGTCGCAACTTTTCATCAAAGTCACAACTCTTCATAAAAGTCGCAACTCTTCATTTTCCATTCACACCTTTTAAAACCCAACAGATACTATTGAATGTATTTTTGGAAAGAATACACTGGGGGAAGAACAATAATTCAGTTTTGGGGAATAGGGTGGAATTACAATGTCGGTCGATAGGAAAAGGTGCTGGCAGCTTTTCAGTTGTTAGTTTTAGTTCTTTGTTTTGCTTTCAAGAAAGCTGGCCTTACTTTGCCGCATTCAACACAAAGATATATAAAACGGATTCCTGCCTCCAGGAGAGAGGAAAGGTTTACCATGAACTGATCAATGAGAATACTTCTACAGTGGTGAATTTGATAGGTGATGCCTAGTTGCTGTCTTGTTAATAACCTTGTTGATCAGAAGTCATGAACTGTTGTCCCCACCTGCTATCATTTGAGATGTTAACTTTTTTATGATTATCATTTGAGATGTTAATTATCAAAACTATGTGAAATTGTGACACCACTTTGATAAAAAAAATAATCAACATGATGGCAACAAATTGGATATAAAAATACTAATCACCTATTGCACAATGAAAAGAGAAGTGTTGCCTTTTCAACAGTTTAATACATAATTTCATTGTGGACTTCATGAAGAACAAATCACAGAGGAAATTAGGGAGCCATATAGGTAATGCCATTTTGTTGGAATCAAATTAATTCCACTATAAGTCAGTTACCCTTATCTCAAAAAAAATATTAATTCCACAATAAGTCCTTCAGCAGATTATTGAGCTGTTTAATTTGATGGACTGTTCTTAGTTTTGTTCCCAGCTCAAGGTCTCCATCCCGTGCATAAGTTTCCACATTCTTAGTTATATTTGGTATAGTCTTTGCAAAATTTTTTTTTTTGGATAGGATCTTCATATAACTATCATAACGGAAAACCATCTATTGCAAGACAATGTAACATAAAAAAACCAACATCCAAAATAACCAAAGTTCAACATTGCAACATAAGAGAAGGCAAAAAAAGGGAAGTTCTTGGTGACTTCACAGGCAATCTAGAAAAGAGAGGTTCCCTTTCCTTTCTTGTCCTCACCAATTACAAAATGCTTGCACCTCTTGCTTGGGTGCTGTGAAACATGTTTGCAGCCTTGGCATTGCAACCTCATCACGATCTTCTTTGTGGTCTTAGCATTTTTTGGTGGAAGATGGGCTTTGTCTGACCACCATAACCAGACTGCTTCCTGTTATAACGATGCTTACCCCGAGCAGCCAAGCTGTCTTTCCCCTTCTTGTATTGTGTGACCTTATGCAAGGTGTGCTTTTTACACTCCTTGGACTTGCAGTAAGTTTTCTATGTATTAGGAACGCTCACCATATTCAAAGGCCGAGAGGTTAGACAGAAATAGCAGAGAGCACAATCTCCTTTCAGCTGGTGCCCAGTAAGGGATCTTTTGATTTGATTAGATATATATATACCATTGTAAGGATAAGTGTCAGATGTAGAAAAATCTCCAGGTTCAAGGAATCCCTAATTTGTCTTAAAAGACAAACTATTGAAAATTGGAAATGAGTATAGAGGCTTCATACCTGATCCTACTTGTTTGTGATGGAGGTGTTGTTCTTATTTCATGCATTGACAAAAACTTATTGTTTATGTTCACTTAAAACAACCTGATATGTAACAATTAGTTAGATGTTCAAATGATTAGACATGACACATCTTTGCTCATGGAAGACGTGTCCTAGATAGGAAAGCAGGGAGGCTGAGGATAGGGTCGAGGGTTAGAGTAGGTAGTCAAGCAATTTTGCCCTTTCCGGTGGGTGAGCATGGTTCTAGCTTAGAGCACATTGTGCTCCCTCTTCTACTTATAAGTACATTATTATTAGTCTATTATTATCTTATTCTCCAATGATATTATTGTTGTTGTTTCTTTTACTTGGGGTTATCTTTAGTATTTTTGTTGTCAGTAGTTTTCTTTTCTGCATTATTTTCATCGTAGCTTTTATTCTTGTATTTGTTAAATCTGTTCTTTTGAAAACGCTTTTCTTGAGTCGAGGGTCTATCGAAAACAACCTCTCTACCTCACACAAGGTAGGGGTAAGGTCTGCGTACACCCACCCTCCCCAGACCCGACGAGAATCTCACTGGGTATGTTGTGGTTGATTTGCTCAAAATAAGGAAGGACCACTTGAACCTTAGTGGAGCTCAAACTGGTTGAAAGTGTACTCATGAGTTATCATCTTTACTTGTCCCTTTTTGTAGTTGAAGCAAGTGGGGCAAAGAGACCATGTCTACCGACTACCATACTAAATGCATTATTCAAATGCATGGTGGAAGTTATGATCCTTAGTACTATATCAAAGTTGTTGGCTCCTTGAGAAAAGTTAGGTGATGAATACAACATGTCTACTTAGTCAATCCTCTAGTTTCAAGTTTCCTTTATTTTAGACCTTTTATCACAAAGACCTGTTTATACATTTTCTTATTTACTTCTAAATAAACTGTTATCTTCATATGATTAAAATGTGGAACTTGTAGATGCATTTAGGGATATCATCATTGTCTCTGTTTTTAGTGAGGTCTTGTTTTTTTCCATGATGATTTGCCATTAATGATGGTTATCTGTCAAGAAAACCCTAACATAGAAATTCTTTCCTTTACTAATGGATATATACATGAAAAAGGTAAACATATATCTCCTATGCCCTTCCTTAATGGTATGGAGACACTTGGATACATTGATTGCAATATACAATATTTTAAAATTTAACCATTATGTGAGGTGATCATGAGATGAAATGTTTTGGTCAACTAGTTCAAGAGAATACAGGAACAAGAGGAAAAAACAATTCTGAGATGTAGGTCTTATGGTTCTCGTATTTCTTTCTTATTCACTAGAGTTGAATCTATGGAAAGTTTTACAGTAATGTTACTGTTCTATGGTTGGGTGCAGTACCTCCTGTATCTTTAAGTGATCGTAAGCAATCAAGATATAATGCTCTCTTATTTTTCTTAATCATTTGAGATCCAATTGATAGTATGGGATGTTTATCAAGAAGAGAAGACCGACAAAGGAAAATGTGTGCGGTCTAATGCAGCCATTCTAATAATGTTTGGTGGATTAGATGTGTTCCTGTGATTTATTGTGCCCTTCAAAATGATTTGTGAGCCTTTACCCTCATTAACTTGCCAACTAATATGTCTTCTTTGATTGCAGTTTTGGCAATTGTACTGGTGGGTTTGCTTTATGGTTTCTTCATAGCAATAATTTGTGGACAGAGAATCAGTGAACGCCATTATCATGTCCTTGCCAAAAAAGAACTCACGAAGGTGTTGCATCTACTGCTAAGACACAGACATGCTTATGCATCATGGACTTTGGCATTATTTTGTTTATGCCCCGTCCCTTTCACCTTTAATAGTAATGGGGTTGTTTGGTTTATGGCCTAGTTATACGAGAATTATGGTCCGAGATTAATTATACGGTGAATAACTATGCAAGGATTGATGGGGTGAATAATAAAGTAGGAATGCGATGAATATAGATACATGGATTGTTAATGTAGTTAGATGCTCATATCCATGTATGCTTATACAGGTTTTCATATCCTACATTCTATATTCATAGATTCTTGTGTAAGTTAAACCGAAATTTGTATACATTTGTTTGATTTCTGGTTTCAAATTCTGCATGCTGCATAGCTCATATAATATATGTACTGATATAATATTTGGTTTCCGGTACTAAATGTTGTATAGATTTTACATCAGAAACCAAATGTTGTTTAATTGATATGGAATTTTATATGGAGATCAAATGTTCATATATTGCAAAACCAAAGGACCCCCACCACCCACCCACATGTTTAATTTGCTTACACTTTTATTGTTGTATTGACAGGAATATGTGGTAGAAGATCGGGAAAGGTTAACGAAAGATGTCCCAGAACTTGATCCTAATCACGTTACAGAGCTAAGAATGTTGGGGCTCTATTGAGATTCATGGCAATCTAGGTAGGTACTCTAGCTACAATGACATCTGATATTTATACGCTGAAGTTGCACATTAATTTTGGTCATATTGACATGTTTGGTTGCACACAATTATGCTACTCCACCCTTTCACAGTATCAGGAACGGGGACAGAAGGCTAATCTGAAAAAGAAAAATTCTGAAGTGATGCTGAGCTTGTTTAATTATCAGTTTCAATGTTTTAGTTCAAATTGTTATAAGAATGTGAAGTCGAAGTAATTTAACTCATATTAGATTAGAGAACAGACCTCTCTATAACATCATCCTTATATAACAACACTTCACTATAAAAGCCAATTTTTTCTAGGAACCTATCTTTTATGTTATATTTTACCTCTATAACAACTTTTTACCTATAATAGCAACAATCAACAACATACCCAGTATAATCCCACAAGGTAGGGACTGTTTCAGTTAGACCCTCTTCTCAAGAAGAGATGAAAAGTAAGAAGTAGCAGGATATTAAGATAAAGTGCTTACTTTTGTTCCACTTATAGTATAAAGAATGTTTTTTAGAGGAGGAATTTTCTTTATTGGATTTGATAGGACACCATGAATTAGTTCTAGGCTTTTGTTTGGTTGTGGTGATTTTTCTCTACAAATATAGTTGCAGCACATCCCTAGTGTTTTCAATACCTATGTACCAATTTTTTTTTACCACTAAGCCTTGGCGATACATTCTTATCGCACAACACCTCGGATGCGAGCCTTTATTTCACCCACCCTGCTCCAATACGATGTGCGACATCATCATCAATCTCCCCATCTCCCTAGATTATGGACTCAAGATACTTGAAGCTTCTTTTCATGGTATGAATCGGGTATCGTTCTTCACTTCCACCTCTGTCTAATGCATCACGTCACTGAACTTGAACTTCAGGTGCTCTATTTTAGTTCTGCTTAACCTGAAACCTTTTGACTCTAGAGCATGTCGCTAAACTTCCAACTTATCGTTAACTCCAACTTGTTTCTCATCAATTTGTACTATGTCATATGTGAATAGCATACATTACGGCACCTGCCTTTGAATGTGTCGTCTCAATTCGTCCATTACTTAGGCAAATAGTAACAAATTAAAGGTTGATCATTGGTGCAAACCCCATCATGACTGGAAAGTGTTCCAAGTCACCTTCCATTGTTCTAACCGGGTCTCGACTTTAATAATAGTAAATTTTGACCCTTAAAAGATGGAAAACTTTTGGCTAATGGAATACAAATATGCCCTAATTGTCAAATTTACACAACCTCCATTGAAGGATAGACAGTGAAGAAGAAAGAAGAAATGTGTTTGATCTTATTATTGGAATAGAAAAAACTGACTCAATACAATGAATCTGATGCATATATATACACCAGTGAACTTGACATTTTCTAACTGTATTTCTTACTAACTATACTAACAAACTCAGCTTGCTAATTACTCAAATACCCTTCTTACACATCATCATCATCAAGTTATCCCTATTTCATTACTCCCCCTCAAGCTAGTGGGTGCAAAAACATTCAACACACCTAGCTTGCCAACCAAATATTCAGCTTCAGGGGCACAAACTGGACCATGCCACAAAGGGCAAGTCAGGCTATAGAAAGCTGGAACAATGAAGGCAGTGGCAGTACAGACCAAAGCAGATGGAGGATTGTCCCAGCAGTGATTTGGTGGACCATATGGAAGGAGAGAAATATGAGATGCTTTGAGAGAACTAGTAGTCCTTTACACAGAATTAAAATGAACTGCATAATCACTTTTTGCTATTGGTGTAGTTCGGAGTATGTAGATGATCCTATAGCGGTTAGAGATATCCTAGGTCCTTTGTAAGATGAAGTAGGATCTAGTTTAGTTTTGTTTTAAGTACACGCTATTGTATGTAGCTCCATGATGTAAGTTTGGGATCCCAGCCTTTAATGCTAAATATTAATACACAAAACTGTTACCTTTGTCAAAAAAAATATATCTGCAAGTTGTTCCTTAGAGGTCACATGCACTGACCTCACCATACCTTCTTGTATTTTCTCCCTTATGAAATGACAATCAATTTCTATGTGTTTTGTCCTCTCATGAAACACTGGATTGGCTGCTATCTGTAATGCTGCTTTGTTATCACTAAAGATCATGACTGGATCAGTTATTTCACTCCCCAACTCTTTCATCAATACAATCACCCATACTACCACTGACACTGCATTTGCCATACTCCTATACTCTGCCTTTGCTAAGCTTCTGGAGACCACATTTTGCTTCTTGGATTTCCATGATATCAAGGAATCACCATGCTTGACTAAAAAACCTGAGACTCCTTGTGTTAGGGCATGATGCCCAGTCTGCATCACAAAAAACACTCAACTTGTTTGTTTTATGGCTGCTCAACAAGATCTCAAGTCCTGGTTCTCTTTTAACATATCTCATCGCCCTGATTGCCGCCTCCCAGTGTGATTTTTTTGGCTGATGTAGGAACTGACTAAGTGTTTGAACTGAAAAAGCTATATCTGGTCTAGTTAATGTGAGATATAGCATTTTTCCTACCAAGCTTTGATATTGTTCTATGTTTTCAAAAAAACTCATCATCTGCTCTTCCTATTGAGTCATCCAATTCTTGTGTTGTAAGTCTCATGTTTGCCTCAAGTGGTGTCCAAGCTGGTTTAGCACTTCCTAGCTCCAAGTGTGAGATGATTTCTAGTGTATATTTTCTCTGATAAATCAGAAACCCTTTTTTTGATCTGCGTAACTCCATTCCAAGAAAGAATTTCAACTCACCAATGTCTTTGATCTTAAAAGCCTTGTGTAAAGAAGCTTTTGTTTGTTCAATGAGAGCCATGTTACTTCCTGTGACCAGCATGTCATCCACATAAACCAATATCACCACTATATCTGAACCTTGTCTCTTGATGAATAAAGAATGATCCAAACTACTTTGAATAAAACCTGAATGAAAAAGTGTCTCACATAGCTTCAAATTCCATTGCCTACTTGCTTGCTTAAGACCATATAGGGACTTTACTAGTCTACACACAACTGACTCCCCCTGACTAGGAAATCCCTCAGGCAATTGCATATAAACTTCATCATGTAAATCACCTTGCAAAAATGCATTATAAACTTTTAAGTGATGAATGCATTACTAATCTTTCAATGAAAAAGTTTTTAATCACCATAGTATGTATCGAAAAATATTTGGTCAAAATGTTGGAACTTGGACCTATTATTTGTTAACTTAAAAATTATATCTCTTTTTCTATCAAATAAAATCTTTCATTCATAAACAAGATCAAACAGGTCGTATTTGCAAGGGTATACCAAAAGGTAAAGAATCTATAAAGAAATGATTCTCTACAAACTCCATTCAATCATCTATGAAGAACCAAAAGGAACTTTTTGTGTGCACCAAAAGAAAATAAGGGAACGACGACTACTCCTCATCTGAAAGAAACTCAACTTTACTCCTTCAAAATCTCTCTCCAAACTACCCACATTAATGTAAGTGGAACCACGTTCTTCTCTTTCTTCTCACTCTTACAACTCAACAACAAGTCTTTCATAGTTTTTGGCATTATCCATGGAGGGTGTGGCCCCGTGGTGGACAAGATGTGGGAAGGGAAGTTGAGATGGTTCGAACATGTAAAGAAGAGATACACAGAGGCCCAAGTGAAGAGGCGTGAGAGTTGACTGTGGTGGCCATGAGGAGAGGGAGAGGTAGGGCTAAAAAGTCTCAGGGAGAAGTGATTAGGCAGGACATGAAGCAATCTCAGCTTACCAAGGACATAACACTTGATAGGAGAGTGTGGAGGTCAAGTTTCTCTCTTTCGAAACTGTCAACCATATAAAGGCAGAAACCAATTTCCGTCATTTCTTCTGTCTAACTATACCTCTCAAACTATTTCAGCTCTTGAGAAGATCCACAGTGTTTACTGGCATTCACAATTGATAAGTTAAAGAACAATGAAGAAACAAATGGCTATTAATCTATGTGTTAGACTCACATAACAAACATGTGGAACGTAAATGAAATCCTCTTCTTCTCAATCTTTCTCGAGTCAAATTTGTCTTTCTAGCTACCAACCAGGTGAAATGCATAACCTTCGTAGGAGCATTAGTCTTCCAAAGAAACTTCCATGGACAAAAGGTAAATTCTATAGAGTGGTGGTTGGATTGACATTGTTTTATATGGTAGAGTGTTGGTTAGTCAAAAATAGAGCAATACTACAACAAATGAACTACATCAGATAATAGATAGTAACAGAAATCGAAAAACAAGAAACTACAAGAGTAGTCCTACGACTACTAATAAGAGCAACAAGACAAAGCACTCCTACTTATTAACTTTCTACCCAAATTTATGTCATCCACACTTTTGTATCTAAGGTCATGTCCTGAGTGAGTTGCAACTACACCATGTCCTATCTAATTACCTCTCTCTAATACTTCTTTGGTCTATCTCTAGCTCTCCTGAATTCATCCACAACCAACCTCTTACACCTCCGCACCTCCGCACCTCCGCACCTCCGCACCTCCGCACTAGGCATACATGCATCTTCTCATCACAATGCCCGAACCATCTCAAACTCGCTTTTCGCATCTTGTCTTCCACTGAAGTCACTCCCTCCTTGTCTTGGATATCCTCATTTTTAATCATATCTCTCCTAGCATACCCACATACACATCCATCTATTTGTCACTTTCATCTTTTGAATCTAAAAGTTCTTGACTGGTCAACACTCTCCCCAATACAACACAGTTGGTTTAATTACCACTTTGTAGAACTTGCTTTTAAGTGAAGGTGGTACGTTCTTATCGCATAAGACTCCGGAAGCGAGCCTCCATTTCATTCACCCTGCATTAATACAGTGACATCCTCATCAATCTCTCCATTTCCCTGGATAATCGACCCAAGAGACTTAAAATCGCCTCTCTTTTAGATGCCACATATATCATGACTCACTTTCACATTAGTCTCATGTGTCACATCACTGAACTTGCACTTAAGGTATCCGGTCTTGAGCCTACTCAACTTGTACCCTCTAGACTTCAGGTCTGTCCTCGAATCTCCAACTTAGCATTAACTCCATCACGAGTCTCGTCAAACAAGATTAAGTCATCCGCAAATAACATACATCATGGCTCCTCACCTAGACTATGTCGCATCAAAACATCCATCTCCAAGGCAAAATAAAAACGGGTTGAGGATTGATTCTTGGTGCAACTCCATCAAAACGGGATAGTGCTTTGAGTCGGTTGCTATAAAATTCCAAAAAAATATAGGGAAGGTTATTATCGAGAGGTTTGATACTAGTTCCCTAAAAGTTTTTAAGTGATTTGGAATCCCAATATAGGAAATGTTATGTTTAGACGAAGTGTTTTGTAAATTAGAGAAGGGGTACAACCAAGATAATATTGCAAGTGTTATGTCATTACACTAAGAGTTATTTACTGTTATTTTGAAACTAATATATCTCACATAATGTTACATACTTCATCAAAAAAACATAGATGTTACATAGTTGTGAGAAAACAGATGGCATATCATAATTGCACATCCTCATTTCTTGAGTTCTATTCTATATTTTAAAAATGTTTTCGTGTTTTACTTGTATTATTGGTACTATTTGAATAGTTTTGATTTTTGTATCCAATGCAGCAATTACCTCACCCTCACTGGATTATATATAGCTATAGTTTAAGCGGAAGGATATGGTTGTGCTGCCAAAAGATATTGAAGCCAGTAGAGTGTACTAACCCAAACAGGGCTTTTTGGAGGGGTGCAGATGCTTTTTATAATTTTTAAACCACCCAAACATCTGTTTTAGGTGAAACTTTCAGAATTGGTTTATTTTGGAAAGTGCTGCATGCCAAAAAGAGTTTCGGTTATTGAGTTAGTGTTTGGCCAATTTACTTGAGAAGGGCTTTTTTTACTTTGTTTTCTTTTTAGTCTGTTTCAAAAACAATGACACTTTCTATAAGAGACTACTTTTGTTCAAGACCTCAAAATTCAAGTTAATCCAACTAAGACAAACATTAAAACTGAAAGAGTGATATTATAGTGGTAATTTGTGTGTGTCTAATTTTTAGAAGTGTATCAAATTATTTTTAAAATGAACTTATATTATCTATAGATGTATCGTTTTGATGGTTTGGTAAATTTGAATTTATATATAATTTACTGACCTTAAATAGAAAAGTGTGGAGGACACAAATTAAGATAGAAAGTTAGTATGTAAGAGTGTGTACCTTCTAGTAGGGGTGTCAATGGTACGGTTCGGTCGATTATTTTTTAAAAATTATACCATCTCAATTTTTTGGGTATTTTATAATGTATAACCAAAATTAGACTTTTTAAAATCATCCAAATCATATTGGTTTCTCTTCTGTATCGGTACGGTTTAGTTAATTTTCATTTTTTTTACTTTTATAATATTACCTCAAAATATACTTTTAGTAATATATTTCTTTGACAATTATGTTCTTTAAGAAGCACTTTAATTCTTCACCAAAAAGACAAGAATGTAAAACCTTGTTGCCGTATTGTTTGATCTTAAATATTTAATAGGAGTGTTTGGATAGGTTTTGTTGTATTGTTTTATAGAGCATCTATTACAGTATCTTTTAATTTTAAACCTAATTAAGTAAAGGCTAATTAAAGAGCAAAGACCTAAAGTCGTCTAGTCACTAGAAGCCTAGGACCTAAGTTATATTAATATTGATAAATGTTATAAAATATATTTATATTAAATTTAAAATTTTGTTAATATATAAAATATATTTACACATATGTAAGGTTATTCGGTTTGGTTTGGGAATTTTTTGATTTTTTCATAAATAAAAAAGACCATCCCAATTATTCGGGACATTTATACATTTAAATAAAAGTCCACTGATTTTATAAAAAAAATAGCATAAATAAGTTCGGATAGATTCGATCGATTTTTCATATTCTTTTGACATCCCTATCTTCTAGTAGGTGGAGTGCTTTGTCTTGTCCCCTTACTAGCTATCCTAGTTAAAGTTAAAGAGGGTAATGATGTATTTTCCCCACAAATTGTAGAGAGATTAGACCTTCTTAAGTTGTCTAGCAAAGCTCATAGATGTCGAGGATACATATATAAATTAACTAGTAATTAGTTTACTTGATTTTATTGAGGCCTCTCTATCCTTTACACCCTTCCTAGAAGGTGGTATTGATTGTTTGGTGCTCTTTAGTGTGGATTGTTACTTTGTTGATTATGATAAGTTTTTCACAGTTTTTTTTTTTTTTTTTTTTTTATGACAAGGGAAACCCGTAGCTGCTACCCTTTAGGTGCGCACAGGGTAAAACTCCCGCTCCTATGCAATAGCTCGCAAACCACATAGGAGAGGTAACCCACACTAGGCAAGCCTGGTGCGACGAGCTCAACCCAGAAGGCAAATCCCTTGCTTTTGCTGGCAAGGGGTTTCGAACTTGAGACCTCCAACATGGAAGTCCCAAACTCAAACCACTGGGCCACCCCGAAGGGTATAAGTTTTTCACAGTTTACCAAACAAACTTTAACACTTTTTTTTAAAAAAAAGATATTGAAACTTTGTAAAGATATCATTCTTGTCAAGAGTGAATTTATTACACCCTTATAATCCTACGTGGCACATAGAGTATATTTCACTCGCTGAGAGGAGAAACAATATTTACTTGTTTAGCATTTTGTTTAATTTAAAATGTTAATTTTCTTTTTATCTATTTATTTTATTAGTATATGTTTTCAGTTCGTTCGTTCTCCTTTCTTTTAACCGGAAAACAGAGATTTCAAAGCAAATTCAGATTTGTATTTAGATGAGGGAGATCGAATTTAATGAGATTGTTGGAAAGAGAGATGAAAGCGGAGTGAGGTGGTGGAGAAAGATTGAAAAGGACAAACGACAGATGTGCCGGAGATATTGACGGCGGCGGCGACGACAGAGAAAGAATCGTCGGGATCAAGTAGAAAATACACCATTTGAGTCAGAGAGAATTTCAGTCTTACCAGATATAACACATTTTGATTTTGAGCAAAAATTAAAAGTAGAGTAGAGAAAAAGAAAATTAACCATCGGAAAAAATGGAAGAAATTTTGCGTAGCCATTGATTTGATAGTGTTTGGAGATAGCAAATGGTTGAGATTATGTTATAGCAGTGGTGGCTATGCTAGAGGATTTCTTTTTATGTTATAATAATTGGTGCATGTATGCACTTTCTTTCTTTCTTATGTTTAGGGTTCACCCAAAAATGAGATACTTTTATGACCAAAGTTTCAATTTCTGTTTAAAAAATGAGGTATTGATGTATTTTGTGCATTATTTTGGAAACATTGTGAGCTTATTTTTGCCGCATAAACATGTTGCCAACAGGATAACATTCAGGATTATTAGGCTCTACTCAGAAATGTGAAGTTGCGGCAAATACTTTTAAAGCTGATATGGATTATGTGATGTTAATTTAACTCATTTTATATGCAGGCTTCCGGTTTATCATTTCACACGACTCATGAGGACTGCGTCTGGCTAAACACTAAGCAATGCTTGTCGATTTGTTATACTAATTAAAACTTAGCTACTTATAATATATTTTCCCTACTCCCCTCTAGATTTGGATTTGATCTCTTTGTATATTATTCAAAGCTGTCATGAATTTGATGTTTGTAAAGTTCCCTGAGGGAAATATACCAGAAATTATGAAAAACACTTTCTGATTTGTTTCATTTACAAAGATTTAATAAAAAAGTTGTACACTGAAATGCAACTCCGAAGAGGCTAACATTTGGCCATAAATTCTCAAATATTAATGGCAAATATTATTTGGATTTACAATTCACCATGTGTTTGACATTTGTTCAATAATATGATTTATATTCATAAATTTAGAAACAAATCAAAGATTTGTATTACATAGCAAGGTAGAAATGTGAACATAACGAGAAGTGTCAATTGAATCTTCATTGCAACAAATAACGAGTAGTGTACATGACAGTGAAGCAATGTGATAGTTCAAAATGAGTGCATCAAGCAACTTTCCATACATCGTAAAGTAGACGACGCACATGACTTTATTACCCTAAACCGAATAATCATCATTTTTATCAACAATCATATTTTCATCATTGTAAACGTAAAAATGATCTAGGATTTGAATTCTTTAAAGCTCCCAAAATAATAAAAATTGGGCTAAATACTAGTTTTTTCCGGTATTTGAAAATTTGGATTATTTGCCAAAAATATTTATCAAATAATGGCAAATTGTACAACAAAAACTATTTGCCAAATTTTCCACCATTTTTTTTACTTGAGAAATCTATGGCCAAACAGATCCAGAAATGTAACAATTAAATAGTACTCCATTTCAAACGTGAAATGACGTAGTTTTGTAAATCTGCAAGCAGAAGTATTTAGCATGACTTGATATGATTAAAGCAATAATTAACCACTATGTATCTGATATAATGGCTATTTGTTATTTTTTTTAATTTCATAGAGAAGAATTAAGCCCTGAATTAAACAATGATTTCATAATCAACACCTCATGGAGAGATTTATGCACATGTCAGATCACAAGCATTCATCATAATGTATCAGACAGGGATAACTGTGAATAGCTTATCTCATCATCCATAACTTAAAAAGGACTTTGAAAAAGGTCATGGAAATACTAGACAAAAAGTCATGTTAGATGTCTCTAAAAAAGGGAAAAGGTCAAAAGGAAGCATGAACAAGTCATGAAACTAGTTGGATGAAAACAAACATACAACTGGAGAAGAAGCATCAGATCTTCCTATTCAGATGAGGATCATAATACTCAAAAATTGAATTATGAGTATTCATCTCCGAAAAACACATCATCTGCCTCTCCGAAATCAAATAATGGCAAAAAATAAAAACAAATACGCAGTAAGCCTCAGACCGTCCTAGTCAATGCCATAATCAACATTGAAACTAGTCATAAAACTAGCATCTCCGTGGCTATATAGATGTCATCATAGGCAATAATTTCTTCACAAAATGTAAAAACTTGACAAAAAAAAAAAAAAAAAGGAAGTATGGGCATGGGTCAGAAATGAAAGGAAAACTTTCAGCACTGAATAAATCAGACAGGGATAACTGTATAATTCCTTTGATCATCATACCCAAATCTAATAGTAAACCATTTACAAGCGTGAATGGAGGCGGAGGGATTATGATTTAGGGTTGGCCGGTGAAGCGGGCAGTGGGAGATAGATTCAATGAAAGCGCAGAACAATGTATATATAGTGAAAGAGAGAGAGAGAGAGAGAGAAAAACGAGGCTGCCGCCTTAGGGTTAGGGTTAAGGCTCTACATCCACTTTGGATTATCAACCTCAATTGGGCTCAACCCATTTATTTCACTCTTTCTTATCATAGTTAAGTTATGGGCTTTTACCATCGAATCTTTTTGAGTATTGAAAATGCTCTTTTTCAATAAGATGACTTGGTAACTGACTGCTTTTTTTCAAAACGCCCCTCATTTGTATTGCTCGCAACAATCCAATAAGTTATACGGTATGAAAAAACATTTGAAACCAATTATTTCTATATCATGGTATGAATCTATATTAGAAAGATTATTAACTCGTCACCAATTATAGAGAATTACATTTTTTTTAAAGAAAGAAATAATAAGTAACACAATTTAAAAAGCAATTTGAATGTAAAAGATACATAAAGTGTAGCTTAATTGGAGAATTGTGCAAACCTTCATTGGAATAATAGAGTTTTTAACCTCGTTGTATCCCCCACCCACCAAAAAAAAAAAAGAGTAAATGTAAAAGTGATAAGTTAAGTAACTGGAATTTGTTTTAACAACTTAGGAGATAATAATTCTATTTTAACTAAGTGTGGAGTTATATGACTCTCACAAACTTTAAGTTGTAAATGTCAAAAGTAGAAGATTATTATGTATCATCTGATAAGGTTATGGTAAGATGGGGGATTTACATAAGAATTTGAGGGTTTTGTAGCATTTGTCCGAACAAGGATTATTGTCTCTCAAAATTACCTAATGATGTCTATGGATTATGCCAAGAGTGTTGTGAAGAGGGGATTGGACAATTACTGTGCTAAGTACATCCAAACCAGTTCCGTTAATCTCATCTATCACGTCTGCTTCAGAGGCATGATTTTCTCTTACCCTTTCGTCACCTTGTACACAAACAACACGCTAAACATTGACTTTTCTAGGTATTTTCATAATTCATCGTTTGAAATTATTCTTTCATTCTTATTGATGAATTGACCTAGAGGTAGCGCCTTATACAATTTTAATTGAAATTTGATATTTATGTTAAACATACATACATATTTCAGCTAGTGGATTTAGAAGCTAAGGTCCTTAATTGTAATATTGAATCATGGGCAGACTTCATTGTAATATGGAGACAATTAAACACAACACTACAAGTCTTACTGATGAAAAGCTAAACATGAGGAATGCGTCAAGTGTGACAAATGACAATCTTTGTGACTGCCCATATGTCCAAAAAATATCTATTGATGTACAAGTGGTTGCCAAATATGCTCCCCCCCCTCAATTTCTTCAAAATTGTAGACTTGATTGATGATAAAATAACCCACTTCATCAAGTACTCGTGTTTGATTTGTCTGCTTGAAAGATGAAATTAATATAATCTATATTTATATCTATATTACCTTAAAAACATGAACTTCTAACTTGAATGTTAAAAATTATTATAATATCCCTAACTTAGGTTGTGGTTTTTTTCGATAAGTTATGTCTTTTCCGATAAAGTTGTGACTTTTTTCAAAAGGTTGTGATTTTTCGATGATTTGTGACTTTCTAAAGAGTTGTGACTTTTTCAATAAGTTGTGGCTTTTCCAAAGGGTTGTGACCTTTTGCAAAAGGTCATGACTTTTCAAATAAGACACAAAAAACACTTGTTCATACTACCATTTGTTAACTATAAATAGAGGGGTTCCTCTCATTTTTCAGCCACAAATTTTTTTAATCTTCTACTTTTCTTCTTCTTCCATTTTCAAAAATTTCGTGTGATTTATTGTCATTGAGTGAGTTCGAAGTTTAGCGGAATATGAGGTATCACTATTGTCTATTCTGATGAAGTAAATCGCTCTGTCCTAAGAGGGTATATTCCATAACCTCGATTACTTTAGGAAAATAATTTTGATGATATAATAATTATTTGTTTGCTTAATATATACATTAGTATGTAATGTTCCAATAAATAAAGTTAACATGATGTAGTCTAAATTCATTTATTTTGTTAACAGTTTCTCTTGTGATGTAGATATATGCTATCGAATATCTTTTTCCAAAATTATTTAACTTCTCAAGAGTCAGAATTGTAACGATTTGTTTTTTTGATGCTCAAGACAAAAAAAAGACTTTATTTATCAATGCTACTTATGTGATTTAGATTGTCAGGAAATTTGCTTCAAAATAGTTATTACTATATAAACATTGCCCTTTTGTTCTACTTATTTACTATTTCTTAATATTTTGATATTTTAGACGAAGAAAAGTTCATATGACTTGTAATAACGCCAGTTGAAGTTTGTATTAGTTTAATTTTTATGAGATAAATATTTCCATTAATGCAAATCTATACATACATACATACATATATATGTGTATGTATGTATGTATTTGGGTAGGTATTTGTATTTAAATTAAAGTATTATATATGTCACGAAAGTATTATCAAGTTAACAAGATCTTCTAACTTCAAAATATATTATTTTAAACTATTTCGAGTTCTTTTAAAAACTCACAACAAATGTGAAAATATGTGAATATATATGAATCATTTAAAATTTATCATTTACAAAATATAAATTTTATATTCAGTAATATGGAATAAACATTTTTATTTTGTCCCTACACTAAATTAAAATTTAATAACTATAAAAAAAATTAGTAATATTTTCAAAATTCTTCCCTTTTTAGCATTTGATTTTTTTCCTCATAGATACATATAATTTAAAGGTAGATTCATTAACTTTTAACTAGACACATGTACACGTGATTTGTATCCAACATTGTTGCCTATCTAATGGTGTATTTGTTCTGTTAATTAAAACTTGATGTAATTCTTCCAATCTTGATTGAGTCGTTCCTATATTTATATCTATTCTCACCTTGAATGTGGATGGATGAAGAGTCAGTCCCTGCAATGAGAAATTCATGAGTAAAATTAAACAAATAAAAGTTGTCTGATTTAGTATAATATTGTTAATGTGTAGTACCTTTAATAAGAATCATCCGATTTTGAGAATGGTCCTTCATTAAAGTGTTTGAGAAACAACAAAATCAAAAAATATAAAACCTAATTTGTAAAACTTTTTAAAACTGAATTTAAGAACATTATGAATTTTAACTCAAATACAAAACCAAGATACATGAGAATAATAAAACAATAAAAACAAACATATATGTAAAATACTGATTTGAACATGCAAATATGTATTGAGAGAATAAAGGAATAAATTAAAGAGGGAGAAGAAGAAGAAGAAAGAAACTGTCCTGCTGGACATGGGGGTGGGGAATGGCCGGGGGCAGATGTGAATAGAAAAAATTTAACTTGTTAATGACCATTAATTAAGGAGTTTAAATTTAAGATAATTATTCAATACCATATTTAAGAGATTTGTGTATCTTATTAAATCTTTTAAAATATATGATATAAGTATTAAAAGTAGTAATATGTATAATTATTTTAAACTAGAGGTAAATATAGTATATATGATAGTAATGTATTTATGGTTAGGTAGTTTTTTCTAAAATTAATTTGTTTTAATCTAGTATCAAACTAATTACGAATGTTTTGTACACTCATCAGTTTTGATATTTAATCTACCTATATTTGAATATCACTCAAATTGAAAACACAAGCAAATAGATTGTATGTGTTTGTTTTTTTGAAATATACATTTTTGTTTGGTTCCAATTTGGTGATGAGCTAGTTCTTTTTGTCACTTTGTTCATAGGTTACTTTCTCTTTCCTTTTCAGTTTTATTTTGTTTTTTGCAATTATGTCAGGCTACTTTGTGAAGATCATTATTAACACACTAAGATACAATTTTAATACACGAAAAAAAATGAATATGTCACGATATATTCTAATGCTAGATTTTATTGAGATTCGCGAATTTAAAATTTATGATCTTTTATAATTATGTGTGATTTACGAAAGTCACACTTAAATTAAAATTAAATAAAAATATATATTTTTTGTTTATTATTCTTGTGTGCAACAATAATTTCCACTTGACACAGGGCATTAAGAAATAGAAAATAATAGGGATAACTTTACCAAATTATCTTTATTAAATATAAGTTGAAAAATGAATAATGAGGGTAAGTGGAGGAAACATTTAATCATAGTTATGAAATTGATGTTAAGAAAATTGCAAGAGACTGCATTGTATTGTAGGTAGAAAAAGAGGTGAGTGATTTTGAATGTGGGCATTTGTTTTAATGATTGTGGTAAATTAATTGGTCAGTTGTACATTGATGAATAAATACGAGTATTTATTTATATATTTATATTTAGAAAAAGAAAAAGAAAAAGGGTAAAAAAGAGAAGGGCTGAATTTATTTAGGTGAAAATAGTGTATCCCGTCGGTGTTACGCTCCATTACTTTAGGTGTACGCCGTGGTTGAAGTCTCATTATTTACTACTGAATTTGCCGACGACGACAAGGAAGGAGATGTTGATGGCTATGGTGATGCTTATGCTTTCAGTGATGACCGACTAGTACGGTCTGCAACTCCTTTTCTCGCTCACTCAGGTACTTGTTTTCCTCCCCAATCCCAACTTCTTCTTCTTCCTCACCCACCCTTATCTCTTTTTCTTACTCCTCCTACCTATTTCATGCTCTCACTTTGAGCTCTTGTATCCTAATCCTTACATTTCAACTCTTTTTTCTACTTTAATTCTCCTTTTTCCTGCATATCACATTGTTATTTGTGCATGACTACTAAATGAATGGAAATTTAAACTCACTGCCAGACTTGGGAAAACGATTTAATGGGTTCTAGATTCCCATCTCACCAGCTCAGCAATGGCCTTTACGTCTCTGGCCGCCCAGAGCAGCCCAAAGAAAGAACACCAACAATCACTTCTGCTCCCATGCCTTATACTGGCGGTGACATTAAGAAGTCAGGAGAGCTTGGGAAAATGTTTGATATCCCTGTCGATGGCTCCAAATCCAGGAAATCCGGACCCATAACAAGTGCACCTTCCAGAACTGGACTATATACATCACATTCAGGACCTATCAATTCTAATGCTGCTGCTAGGACTACCTACTCAACCTCAGGTCCCATATCATCCTCAGGGATGCCTGCTTCAGTTTCTACAAAGAAATCAAATTCTGGCCCACTTAGCAAACATGGTGAGCCTATAAAAAAGTCATCCGGTCCTCAATCTGGAGGAGTGACACCAACTGGCCGCCAAAACTCAGGTCCTCAACCACCACTTCTCCCTGCAACAGGTCTTATTACTTCTGGGCCTCTGAATTCCTCTGGGGCCCCAAGAAAGGTCTCAGGTCCGTTGGATTCAATTGGTTCAGCCAAGATTCATGGCCCTTCTCTTGTTAACAGCCAGGCCGTCACCACTCTCAGTCAAAATGATGTGTATTCCTTCAAGAGGAGCTTCCCTAAACCTATCCTGTGGGCAATGATTTTGTTATTTGTCATGGGTTTTATTGCCGGGGGATTTATTCTTGCAGCTGTGCACAATGCTATTCTGGTGATTGTTGTTGTGGTTCTATTTGGCATTGTTGCTGCATTGTTCGTATGGAACTCTTGCTGGGGTGGAAGTGCTATAGTTGGTTTTATTACCCGCTATCCAGATTCTGAACTAAGAACAGCCAAAAATGGCGAATATGTCAAGGTTTCTGGGGTATGTATTTTCTCCCTAATATGATGATATCTTACTTCTTACCATTTAACTTTGCGCAGTCTGGTGCTTGATTGGGAATTAGAGCCATTGATTATGGGTTCTTTTAATTTTGTTTCTCCTTAAAAACTTATAGTATGCCAATTAGAGATGTCCACTTGTCGTATATGTCTATTCTTAGCTTTGATGATAGCTATATAATAATAAACCTAGTTCATATCTTAATTTGTTACATTAGGATCTTGCAATCATTCCAGGTTAGTTTCAATTCACCCCGTGAAAATTTTGTGAGAGGAACAAGATGGTACAAACCGTTGATAGGTATAGGCCACTTCCACTCTATGCATCTTCTGTCGAGTTCGGGGATGCTTTACTGAGTGATTAAGTAAAATTAGTAAAGCTTCTTCTTAGTAGATTGTAACTAACGACACAATAGGTCATTTATGGCATTACAAATCCATCTAGTTTTTATAAATTGATTTTAAAGTTGAATTCTTCTATAAATGATCTCTATCAATCAATAGTATTCGGGGAGAGAAAATAAACATGATGTTTGCATTTTTTTTCCAAAAAGAAACTAATTACTCCCATCTCACTGCATTCGCTTTTCTCCTCTGTGTCGTCGCACACAGAACGGAAGATTAAAATCTCATCCCACTTACATTTAGAATCACAAAATGCAATTCTTTTGAGTAATTGGAGCCAACTATCAAGTTGCACAAAAAAGGAATTGCAATTGCCAACCCTTCTCTCTTTCTTTGGTTTACATACAGATTGAAGCATAGTTGATTGATATTACAAAGTAGACAATGCAGGAAAAATAAACAAAGAATTGCTTTTATGATAATAATTTTCTCTTTTTGGTCTTTGTTTCATGAAATATATTTTCCACTAGACAACAGCCTTTTTGTTTATCTTTTATTCATTATATAAATAAATTTTGTGCTTTGTCAAGTCAATTTTATTTTGCTTCATCAAAAATAAATTCCCCTTCATTGTGAGGGCTTTTTGTCTTTTTATTCAACCCTCATCAGAATATTCTCAAACTATCCAAAAGATGCATGAACAATGGGGTGTTTTGTCCCTATCGAAAGTCTAAGAAGATATCTCGCTTCTCATTTTAAAATTGAGGGGTAAATGAAATACCATCATTTTATGTAGCCATGGTTTCGTTGCTTTTAACTAAATGAAATGCTGCGATGTTAAGGATAGGTTTCATGGACAAAGTGATGTCCGTGTAAGAAGCGTATGCTTCACACCATAAGGTGCAATGTGATCCAAGCAACTAGCAAGACAGATTTGATTAGTTGAGTGTAACTTCAACAGTTTTTTTTGTTTTTTTGTTTTAAAAAGAGGAAGAGAGAAAAGACAGGTACATTTGCTAACTGAATGCTAAGACTCCTTTCCACGATCGCTTAAGGGTTTCTTTGTCGTCATCCTCTTCTTCTTCTCAAGTTTGTAATTACTCAACTTCTACTACTTCTGTTTATCTGTCCTTCTTGATTTACTTTTTCTTTTTTGAGATGGTATCTTGATTTTTTATTTTTTTTGTTTTTTGGGTTAAATAATGATTCATTCTTCTTCTTGTATGAGTTATTGGATTAATAACGATGTCATTGTTTACTGGATGCTGAAATTAGTAATTTTAAATGTAATCTGATGTCATACTACAATCATGCATTTGAAGAATCCCATTTTTTTTGTAAATTGTGTGCTTCATTCCGAAGAAATGTGCCCCAAAAGTCTTTCATTGTTTTAAACTTTAACTTTTATAGTCTTGCTGTTGTTTACGCCTTCCGCTTCTTAAAATATAGGATTTAATGCATAAAGTGTATATTAGTGGTCTGTTTAAGATTCTAGATATTTTTGGCCTTTTATATTGTTGTCATATTGGTAGTTAGTAGGTAACAAGGCTATCTTTAAAGCTTGGCTCTAATATTTAGAAGGCTTTAAGAAGTATTTCTTCCACATTGTATTTCCCGTGGTTGCTTGAGATGCGCTTAATTGAAGAATCATGATTTTTAGTGAGTATTTTTATTGGTGGTCACGACTTGTTTGGGGCTCTGAGGTGTAGTTGTTGTAGTTCCCAGTGGTTGTGGTCCTAATTTGGTGACCATGTTTGAATATTTTTATGTTCTTTCTTGTTAGAGTTATTTTGATTAATCTCTTAGTTGTGCTATCATTTTGAATTACCTTATTATAGATTTTTCTTTTGGACACTTAAATTTTCTTCCTGGAACTTGTTTTCATATTTATCTTGCAAGATGCAAATCCATTTCTACCACTTACAAATTCCCAGTTTCAGTCTGAATGATCTTTATGAAGTTTCCAGTAGAAGTCCTCAACTAGTCCAGTTACTTAATTTTCTTTTTGATATGGTAACACCATCCACCCAAACCCTCCCTCTTAGGAGTCAATCATGTTCCTTTCCATTTGTGCCCTTGGTGATTTGAAGGTGGTGGGTCCTTTACTCTAGGCCATCTCTTCTGCAGTTTAGTTACCTATATGGTGTGCTGCACCCAAATAGATAAGAAAATCTATTGAGAGATAACACTTGATATGCGTTCTTCAAAAGGCAACTTCACCCTATTCACCTTCCCAAATGCTTTTTCTTCATATTCAAATCAATGTGGTTGTTACTCTGGTGCAATTAGATTTGGCCATTTCCTTCCTTTTTGAGGGACATGATGGCTGCAATAGCGTGGCCTGTTGAAGTTAGGAGAACTACAACTTGGAGAGTATAGATGGGTTTTGTTGGTATGTGAGAAGTAGCACATGACTGCTGCGTGATGGTGTTAGCAGCACTTTCGGTAGTTATTTTCTTTTCCTCTTCTGGAAAGAGTTTATTTGGTATTTGCATATGGGTTGCTCACGGGCAGCAGCTGTTATTTTAGTGGCTGATATAATGTATGCTATGGTAATTGTGCACTATGGAAGAGTCTCAAGTGGTGAGGGTTATTAGCGAGGACATGGGTGAAAGCTGGTGAGCGTTGCAATCAGGTGGTATGCTGCTCGGATCATGGTGTTGGAGTTGGTTTTCTTTGTGGGTAATTTTTTTTTTTTTTTGATGAAGTAAGTAGATTCATTTCAAGGCATCAAGAAGATGCAAGCTTTACAAGGATAGATCAGTTAAGCACACAAAAAAAAAAGGATTTGTAGCCTCTTTCTTTGTGGGTAATTTATGTGGCACATGCTAGTTAAATTGTTGAATGGCTTTTGGTCTCTAGGATTATTGAGTTGTTCTGGTCTTTTCATGAATCCAAAATATCAGGAAGAGTTACGGGAAACAAAATTGTAGGTATCAATTAAAATAAGCATCACTTATCTCTGGAATATCGTTAAATGCAAAGGATCGACTTTATGTTACAGTTGATGGATTGCTTAATGTTGGCACTGGTGTAACCGTTGAACCAATGGTTTTCCTTACTAACTGTTAAAGAATGACAAAAAGTCTCACATTGATGGTTAATAAGATGGGTGGACTCCTTATAAGGCTTGGCAATCCTCCTTCCTTTGAGCTAACTTTTGAGGTGTGAGTTAGGCCTAAGACCTAATTTAACATGGTATCAGAGCAGGGCCCGTCTCACCCGATGTTGGGGCTCCCAAAATCAAAATTGTCCATGCACCAAATGCTAAGCACTGAGCATGAGGTGGGGTGTTAAAAGAATGACAAAAGTCTCACATTGGTGGTGAATGAGATGGGTGAACTCCTTATAAGGCTTGGGCAATCCTTCTCCCTTTGAGCTAGCTTTTGGGGTGTGAGTTAAGCCTAAGACCCAATTTAACATGGTATCAGAGCACATGGTTCAATGATCCAATGGAACGAGGTTGAAGACAGGGTCAACACGGTTTCAAATCAATTTGCAACAAATTTGATGATAATGATGATTTTTGTCTAGCTACATGTGGAGAATAGATTTAAACCATATTTTCAACATTCATGTTGCTGCATCTTTGAAAATAAAGATAAAATATTTTAAAACTATTTTTAACCCTTATATTTTAAATTTATTTTTAACCATGACAAGCAGCAGTAATGAAGACTATGTGAAAAACGAAGATTATCATGCATGTGAAGAAGGTGGATCAAGTTTTGTCAAGAAAAATCCAACCAAAAGGGGAGATTTGTTAGGGTTTTGCCCTGATTTTCTTTTCTTATTTGAACTTTATTTTTTTCCTTAAAGAAAAGTCAAAGTATTACCATAAATGCTTAAACTTTTTCTGAAAGGAAAATATAATTTTCTTCTATATTTGGTTTATTATTTCTTTAGAGGAAAAAATTAGAGATCTATAAATTGAAGATCCCTATTCTCATAGCATAACACAATAGAATCCACAATGTAGTCGTTTAGAGAGTTTTGTTTATGGGGAGATTTTTTCTCTCAACAGTTTTGATATTTTCTTTTTATTAGTTTTAAATTAGGTAGGTCAATTGGTCCTATCATATTATAATATTATGTCTTTTAGTATAGTTTTATTTGTCATCTAATTTATCGTCATATGATTTGCAAATTATAAGCTTCCGCATGACGCCCTAATCGCTTTCGATCCCAACAATTTTTGATGGCCTCCACGCCAAAAATAAGGTTGATGCAGTGTCATTGCATTAACATTGGGAAAAAGAGAGTGCAGTCTGGTGATGAAGATAAGTCAAGCAACTTTTGGGATGTGAGTTAGGCCTAAGACCTAATTTAACATGGTATCAGAGCAGGGCCCATCTCACCTGATGTTGGGGGCCCCAAAATCAAAAATTGCCCACGCACCAGATGCTAAGCACTGGGCGTGAGGTGGGGTGTTAAAGAATGACAAAAAGTCCCACATTGGTGGTTAATGATGGTTAATGAGATGGGTGGATTCCTTATAAGGTTTGGGCAATCCTCCTCCATTTGAGCTAGCTTTTGGGGTGTGAGTTAGGCCTAAGACCTAATTTAACACTAACAATTCATTTGATGCTACAAAGTTTGAAATAGGAAGATATAGCATTAAGGACCTATTTCCTTTTTTGTGGGTGACTTTGTATTCAACCATTTGTTGTTATATGAAAGTTTGATGTATTATTGTTGATGCTCAAGCTCTCATTTGCATGAAAAAAATCTAATCAGAAAACAGCATGGCAGTGTGCACCCTTCTCACTCATGCGTGCTATTTGTAAGCAAATGGATAGAATATCATCCTTGGGATCTGGTGCATGGTGTCGAAGTTTAGTGTAGTTGCACCATTATTGTATCCATAACCGGAACTAGTTTTTTCCAGCAGCTTTGCTTCGTTAGCTTCTTGTTAACAGGACTAGTTTGTAGCCTACATCTACCTGGAATACAAGCTTTGCCAGCTAACCCCCATCTAAGCTTCCCTTGTTGCCTTTTTTTTTTTTTTAAGTCCATCACTTTTTTGCATCAAATCTAATGCCTTTTGCACCAACTAATTTGTTATAAGTGAAAAGATATGACACATGAACCTAACTCAAACCCAAAAGTTAGCTTATGAGGGGAAGATTGCCCAAGTCCATATAATCAGACCACCAGTCCATTCCCTAACCAATGTAGGACTCTAACCCACTCTAACAATAAGTAGCAGGTATTCTCCAAGTATCCGTCATCCCTCATCATACAAGTCATAGTCATTCTTAAGTTGTCATAACTGTATTTCAACTTTCAAGTGTGTGCATTTCTAATCTTCTATATCTATCATCCTAGTAGATAATTGATTTTGGTTCCATCATTTCTTATCAGCTCTGCAATGGCCTGTTCTGTGATCGACTATAATTCTTGAACAAATTTTTGGAATAGGTGAAACTCTTATATTATGTGAAGTTGCTAGTTTAGAACCGCGGGATATTGGTTGTCTCTTTATGGAATAAAATTATTATTGCTATTTAGTCCAAAGTTATATTTTAACATATGAACATTGAGATTCTTCTGTTCAACACTTACTTTTCCTGTTGTTGATTGACATCTGTCCGTACTATAATTATCATAACACTCTATTTACGTTAAGGTGGTGACTTGTGGAAATGTGCCTCTTGAGTCATCCTTCCAAAAAGTTCCTAGGTGTGTCTATACTTCTACAAGTTTATACGAGTATCGAGGATGGGATTCAAAAGCTGCAAATCCTACTCACCGGCGTTTTACATGGGGCCTCAGGTCTTCAGAGGTGAGTTGCTAGACAGATACCCTAATCTTGTTATCCTGTTTAGGTTCCTCAAATACCTGTAATTGTTACATATTGAAAGGGATGATCTGCTGGATCCTAATCCAAAGTTGAAGCTTCTCATGATGATGCTGGATTCAGTCTTAGGACCTTGGGTTATAGATATCTCATTGTTTGGATGATGTATGAAATTTTAAAATATTTTTGAGATTTTACTTTGCTGACTTGAACTCATTGTCTGTACTGTTTTGCAGAGGCATGTGGTCGACTTTTATATCTCTGATTTTCAGTCAGGGTTAAGAGCATTGGTTAAGACTGGCTATGGTGCAAAGGTGACTCCTTATGTAGATGAGTCAGTAGTTGTTGATGTGGATCCTTTAAATAGTGAGTTATCTCCAGAATTTATCAGGTGGTTGAGAGAAAGAAGCCTTTCAAGTGATGATCGTATAATGCGACTGAAGGAAGGGTAGGATTTCCCCCCTCTCATTCTCTGCTTGTTCTTACTAGTGCACTGCCAGTACATCATATAGGATTTAAGAATATTTTACTAAAGTTTGATGCCACTGTAGCTTGCTGACCTAAACTATTTCTTTACGTTCTGGCAACAGTTGCAGAAGAGTTACCTAAATGTCTTAGTACCATTTGCTGAATTTTGTATGCTGTATCCTGCAAATGTCTGACTAGGTGGTTGGAGATGCTAATTAAGATGTGTATTTGGTCTTTCTGATAGGTATATAAAAGAAGGAAGCACAGTGAGTGTGATTGGAGTGGTTCAGAGGAATGAGAACGTTCTTATGATTGTCCCACCTCCTGAGCCATTTACAACAGGGTGCCAGTGGCTGAAATGCATATTTCCTGCTAGCCTTGAGGGCATTGTGTTAAGATGTGAAGATGCGTCAAAAGTTGATGCTATACCAGTATGATAGGTTATGTTCAGCATACTTAAGATGGTATGTGATGTTAGGTTAAGAATGTTTATTGTGGAGAGGTATCTGAAAATAGTTTGTGTTTCATTTCCTGTATAGTAGTTAGGTTACTATGTGTTGTTTAAACTTTATATGACATGTTGTAATAGAGAGAATGGTTAGATGAAATGTTTGGGCCGTTGTGAGTATACTTGTATTTCTAATATGCAATCCATGTACGGAAATGACAAGACGAAAAGTGTCAATTATCTTTTAGTTTGGCTATTTCTCTTTTTGTGGTGAAAAACGATACCTTTTGCATAGGGTCAATAGGAACTTTTGCTTCATCATTTTGACAAAAGCCTAACCACACAAGCGAAGATGGATTTAAGTTACTCATCATATAATTATGATTTATGTTCTACCAAATTATTGTAGACTAGATATTTTGAATTTCTTTTGTTAAAAGAAATACATATGACTAAAATAATGTACCACAAAAGTAAAAAAAAATTAAAAATTTCATATTCCTTATTTGGTAGCAACCATAGAATTGAAATTCGAGTGGCAATTGGAGGAGTAAAATAAAGTAGAGATTGCAGCGACAGATCTGGAGAATGAGATGAGAATAGGGAAAGGCACTAGTAGCAGCACCACCAAGTTGGTCTTTCTTTGTGTGTCTCTCTTGGGAACCTTTCTCCTTGTAGATCTGCTCTGGGCTTCATCTTCTTCCTCGTCCTCCTTCAATTGGCCACTCCCACCATCCAATCTTCTCTTCTTTCCTAATAACACGCTACCGCTAACTAACAAAAAAGGAGATGCCGCTCCACAGAGGATTTTATCAGCTACCTTTGCCGATTTGCCTGCCCCACTATTGAACTGGGAGAAGATGGCAACATCACCTGTGCCTCGTCTCGATGGCGCTGCTCTACAGATCAACGACCTTCTTTTCGTCTTTGCTGGTTATGGAACCATTGATCATGTCAGTTATTCCTTTCTCCATCTCTCCTTTTTTTTTTTCCTCTTTCATATCAGGCAACGCCCTTTGATTTTTATTTTTCTATCAGGTTCACTCGCATGTCGATATTTACAATTTCACCGCCAACTCATGGGGAGGAACATTTGATATGCCCAAAGAAATGGCTCATTCACACTTGGGTATGGTAACGGATGGGAGATACATTTATGTTGTTACTGGACAATACGGTCCCCAGTGCCGGGGTCCTACTGCCCGCAATTTTGTTCTTGACACCAAAACCAAGCAATGGCAGGACTTGCCTCCTTTACCAGTCCCAAGGTACCACTTGTATAATTACTACCACTAATGGATGCTTCATTGTTTTTTTCTACTTATCCCAACCGGTAAATATTATCTTCTCTACCAACTTGTTTGTTGTCTGGAAGAATCATCAAACTGGGAACCTAGATTTTGGTTTTAAGTTTTAAAATCAGGAAATTGATTTTCAGATGACTTGTTGTATGTATTGCATGACTGGTGCCATTGCTACTTTAAACCATTTCTTTTGGAACACTTGGTACTAATTGCCGTTACTATGTTAAATTCTGTATGAATGTAAGATTATAACTACCTCAGATGGTTGTTCAGAAAATTGCTCGTATGTAAGAGAGGCCTGGTTCAGAAACTACCGTTTGCCTACATTATATTTGATTTCTGTAAACAGCTATTCTTCTTATTACCACTACTTTTGCTTGACAATGCACAGTGGAAAGAAACTATTGCCTGGTTCCTCAAAGTCCTTATTTTTCTTGATCTTTCCAAAGCTTCATGTTAAGTTTGAATTCTAAGTCACGGTGGAGTTTCTGCTACTTCTAGAAGGCGCAGTGACTGAACATACTAGATAGGACTACTGTATTATGTTTAAGTTTTATGTAAAATTGTAATATCCTTGTTAATGAGCTTGATTCTCAGGTATGCGCCTGCAACACAGCTCTGGAGAGGCAGGCTTCATGTAATGGGTGGGAGCAAAGAGAATCGGCATACCCCAGGATTAGAGCATTGGAGTATTGCTGTTAAAGATGGCAAAGCTTTAGAAACGGAGTGGCGGACTGAGATACCTATTCCTCGTGGTGGACCTCACAGGTATTTGGCCGATTTCATGCAAATATTATCTTAAGCATAATATAATATATGCAGTCGATTACACAAGGCACCCTCAGAAGGAAAAGGAGGGAAAGGGAAATCTTGATGGGCAGTGTGAAGGGTTCTTCTTAGAGAGAATGAATGTTACACCTGAAAACAACAATACTTTGGATAATACAATTTTTCAGCATAGAGCAGCTAATGAATAGTAACTGGGTTCTAGGAGCTCTAAATCCATAATGAGAATGAGTTTTTCCTACTATACTAATCTTTGTAAGGTGATGAGAACTTTGGCAGTTTAGTGATACTTTCTCTGCTTAGTTGGTTTGAAATTCACAACAGTGCAGTTACTTGTGGGATAACATGGGATAAGGAGGGAAGTTAAATGCCACATTTTCTTTTCTATTGAGGGAGATATTGTGCCCATTGTGATGTTGATAGTTTGTGTTGTTTTTGTTCTCCAGCTTATCCTTTCAGTTTTAACTAAATGATGCTTCTTTGTTGGAATTGGTATAAACTAGTCTGGTATTCTGGAGAACTCTTTCGTGTATCTAGCTGTTCTTGTCTTTTCTTTTTTTTTGATGAAATAAGAAGGATATCATTAGCAAAAAGCATCAAGAAGATGCGAGCATTACAAAGAGATTATCAGCTCCCAGGAAGGCAAAAAGGCTATCACAACTATCAACATACATCTATGGAGCTAATAAATTCTAGGAAAGATTCAACAGTAATTACAGAGGAGTGGTTTACCCAACTAAAAAGACTAATCAAACAACTAGCCTTAAGAGAGGAAATGGGAGTGGGATGCCATCAAAACATCTTTTGTTCCTTTCTATCTATAAACACCACAAAATACAAGCGGGAACCAAAGACCAGATTTTTTTGATGGACTTCCCTACTTTCCAGGAACTCCAACACACAAAAGCCTCTCTCAAAGTAAACCAACCTGTTCTTGTCTGGTTTTTGTTAGATGCTTGTGAGATACCCTTTTTGTGCTTTGAGCAGGAATAGATGTCTGCGAATCGTTAAGGCAGAGGAGGGGAATAGAGGAATAGAGGAGAAAAATATCTGTGCTGGGGTCTGTTAGAAGAGGAATAGGAATAGGATTTTTATTTCTCACGTGGAGATAAGTAACTGGATCTTCCTTGAACTTTCATGCAGGGCCTGTGTTGTGTTTGATGACCGACTTTATGTCCTTGGTGGTCAAGAGGGTGATTTTATGGCTAAACCTGGATCACCCATTTTCAAATGCTCACGTAGAAATGAGGTAATTGAACTGTGACTTGGCGGTTTTGTATACGTTGAGAAAATTTCATTAAGCAAAGTACCAAGGATGTACTATAAAAATACAAACAAGGGAATGTGACATTGCTGTTCCAGTTATATACCCAAAATTTCCTAAAAATCAAAATAGTGAGACTAATTTTATATCATGGTACTCGTGCACCAAAACTATAAGTTCTGTAGGCATCTTATATTTATAAAAGAAGAATAATTTTTCTTGACCTTCAAAGTATCTCTTGTTCCTCTTCAACCACTCTGTAAGTCGTATATTGGTTATTGAATTTTAAAACGTTGTGTTCCAATTAAGCTTTGGACATTAATAACTCCTTTTATGGGATTTGATTTTATTGTGTGTGAAAAAAAATTGGCCAGCATGTTTTTTTCTCATTTTGGGTGTCAACAGATAGTACCATTAGATGAAATTTGCCAAATGGAAGGTCATTTTTGCTTTTTTGGCATACTTTTACTTAAAGAAAGAAGACATTATTTTACTTTAATGTCGTTTTGGCTTAATATGACTATGGAGCCTGACTTTACAGGTTGTATATGATGATGTTTACATGTTAGATGATGATATGACATGGAAAGTGTTGCCTCCCATGCCAAAGCCAGATTCCCATATAGAGTTTGCGTGGGCTATTGTCAACAGGTCTCTTGTGATTGTTGGAGGAACTACTGAGAAGCACCCAAATACCAAAAAGATGACCCTCGTTGGAGAAATACTCCAATTTCAATTCGATACACAGGTATTGTTTCTAATCTTCAACAAACTAATGGTGTTCACTTTGTCTTAGATTTAGTGCTGACTTGTAGCCTGGCGCTTTCATCAGTTTTTAGCTTAGTAGACACATCAAACTGCGTGATTTGCTTAGGCTTATCCGTTCAATTTGAATTTATGTTCACTCTTTACAAAAGGTACACAAAGGATCTAGAATGTCTTATTAGGATCTTGTTGCTACCTACCCCACCAGTCTTCTATAGGTCTATTGGAGGGCATCTGTTCAAAATGTGGTGTAGCAGTTAAAAATCATACTTTAGCCCTTTCTTTCCTCGGGATAGACTTGTAGCTCATCAAAGATATGCCTGAATGTGGCTTCCAATTCCACATTTCTTTCTCACATAGAATCCACTTTATAATTGTGTCAGGTCAAAAGTGGAGGTAATTTAAGATAGTTCTTACGAGCTTGTTTTTGATCCAATGCAGACATGGAAAGTTTTAGGCAAACTTCCTTACCGTGTTAAAACAACTCTTGTTGGATTCTGGAACGGATGGCTGTACTTCACATCAGGACAAAGAGACAAAGGACCAGATGATCCATCACCAAGGAAGGTCATTGGAGAGATGTGGAGAACTAAACTAAAGTTGTTGTGAGCTCATAGTTTTACCTAAAATTCTGCCAAATATAGAAATGTTATAGTGTAAATTAATGCAAGTTTTGTTTGATTGTTTGTTATTCTTCTCTTTTTTCTTTCTTTCCATGCAATTTATTTTGGTCCAGCCTCATTTAGGGAACAAATTACCTAGTGGAGAGTGTGCTTTTAGATTCAATTTTAGGGTTGCAAGTAACTGAAGAAATGCTTTACTCTTCAATTCATTTTTTTCCCCTTCCGACATTGATAATATATTTTTATAATAATAAATAATTATCCCTTTTTACTTGTTATTCGTCTGTTTGATTTTTGAAACTTGAAAGTGACTTAGCAAAGAAATAAGAGTCGCAAGGAGATGTTTATCAAGTACAGATATATAGTTTACACTTGAACTGATTTCTAAGTTGACAATTCAAAATACATGAATATGAATATGGAGATGCCTAATTTACGAGCATTAAGCAATTAAATTTATAGTTTTACTTTCTCGAATTCAC